ATATAAAGTGCATTCCAAGTGATTGATGCATAATCTTATTGCGTTTAAGGTACAGAGTTTGAAAACTAAATTTCTTTTTCCTAAAAAGAAAGATACTTATTAAATCAAAATAAAATTTATTGAATTTTATATTTTTCATATATTTTTATACGATCTTTATTTTGTCAACCCAAAATTACATTATATAGATATATATAATCAATAAATTAAAATTAAAAATTATTTTTAATAATATAATAATTTCAGTTATTAAATATAATATATTGCAAAATAAGATATCCTTGATCGAAATGATATAGATATCATATTGCTTTGAATTTTAATGTATATTGTAAGTGTTAAAATATTATCAAATTTTGTTGAAAAATTAGATTAGATCAATCGATCAAATAAAAAATCGAAGGCTTATTCAGTTCAATGAAATAATCAAATCGTCTCCATAAAAAACCTATCAATATTCCAATTAAATCAGATTTTTGAACTGATTAAATCAATTTATACTATCCTATTAAAAGAACACCTAAAACCTTATGAAAGTGATAGTTAACCTTATTTTTGTTTGATGGACTTTTGGCTTTGAGGACTTAATGTATGTGGAATATATAGGTTGAAGTTTTATGCTTTAACTGAAAGAGACCTAGTTGTTTAGTCACTTTAGTTTCAAATGTGATAATTTATTACTTCCAAGATTTAAATGGGAAGACATAAAAGATATCAATGAAGTAAAATGGTGGACTTTTCTATGACTGCAAGAGATTTATAGTTATTATTTTTATTGCTTTTTTTCATAGACGTGTCTCCATCTTTCATTTTTCTTTATGGATGTTTATTTCTTTGGGTTTTCCTTCTTTTTTTTTTATAGCTTTACAAAGAGAGATAAAGAGAATCCGAAAATAAAAGAAATGGAAAACATTATGCGAGAACAGGTGGATTGGCGAGATCATCAATCAATCGACTTTGAAATCAGTCTGGCACCAATAACTAAAAAGATTGAAGCATGAAAAGAGAGGTAAAGTTTAAACAATTATTTTAAAAGGTGGACAATATTTATTAGGTTTTAATCCTTTGGACATCAATATATATAAAAATATATATATATATATATATATATCCCTCTACTCTAAAACATGGCAATGTTTAAAATCCAATTGATTTCAAGAAAATTTTTCTTTTTTTTTTAATTTTAAACACACCTTATTATTTAGCTTTATCATCTATTTTGGTTATTAATTTTTTACATCTTACCAAAAAGTGATTGATTATTTATTTTAAATATAAAATTTTGGTTTAATTGTTGCTAATTATTTTTTTAGCATATAATGCTATTTAAAGTTTAATGTTCTTCTTGCTTTTGTATGTTGCAGATTTTTTACAACTTTTATTGGTTTTAGTTGATCAACGGTAAGAAAGAAGAGACTTTCAAATTATTTATTGTGATTGAGATAACTTATTGTTAGCATTTTCTTCTTTGTATCATTTAATAGTTAGTACAGTTTAGTTTTTTATTATGTTTACTTTAAATTTAGTTTTCACTAAATAATACCATGTGCCAAGAATCCATACTCTTTTCATGTAATAAGAGTTTTAACTTTTCGTAAAAAACTCCTTTGCATCTTTTTTGATACAATAAAAACTTCATAACATGTATAAAACTCTTACTCTATTTAAATGAAAATAGAATGATCTATAAAAATTAAACCAACTTTAATTGAAAGTACCGGACATGATGTGCTAGTAGCAAACTAGCTTTTATTAAAATTTTGGCTTTAAAAAAAGAAAAAACTTTTTTTAATAGTAAGATTTGAACTCTTACCCTTTTGATCATTAATTAAAACTTTAACCATTTAATCAATTTATTTTTTAAAAATCATTTTATAATTTCAAGAATGATTAAGATTTTTTTTTAATTATTTAGAGTGATGCATCATCTGTTAAACACTCAACTACCTCCATATGTTCTATGTCATATCGAATACTTATTTTTTTATACATAATTGAATAGAATCTTATAGAATAGCACCAAATCTTAACAATCGCATATAAAATATTTAGTGATTTCAAACATAGAATCATTTATACAATTGTCATATGAGAAAAATTTTTATATAAAAAACTAAAATAACATTCCAAATAGCATTTTGCCAATTAAGTAAATTTATTATTTTAACATGTACCATATTTATTCAAGTAACCATATACTTCAATTTTTTAAATCAGTTGCTTATGTTAAAAGTAAAACATAACACGTTATAGTCTCACAATTTTATCTTGATAATGCCTCAAATAGAAATAATTTAAAAATAATATTTTGATGCAATAGAAATCTCATAATTATAAGTCATTAAGATTGTCTTTACAAGACATATTTATTTTATGAGTTTCATGACAACAATATGCCTTAATTAACAAATATCATGCATGATTTGGCACGTATATAATAGTTAATCCGTTATCAATTGAAACATGACCCAAGCACACGTCACGGGAGTTAAACCATGGTGGTTTGGTTGCTATTGAAATGGTTGGCGACGTCTCTAATCCTCCCTTCTTACTATTAAGCTTTACTTGAAAAGTTCCTGAATAGTCGTTAGGATGTGTAAGTAGAGTTGGGAGATTAATAAGCCTAATGAGATTATCTAAACATGTGATTAGATAATCTCATTTATTATTCTATGTGCTTCATTAATTAAGATGGAACCAACAACAATCATAATAAGAAATATCCGTGGGATATTGGCATCAATGTTACAACAGGAAATTTTACACTATGACCAAATAAAAGTCTAATCATAGAAATGTTTGACATTATTGACAAAATATTATTACCATGAATGACTAATTTCAGCTGATGGATAATAGTCTTACCTCATCTAATGAGTGGATAAGAGTAATTTGGCTAGATAATTCCTTCATTTAAAATAGCTATAAATATGAGACATCATCTAAAGCACGAATACAAAAAGATCAGCAACCACTATTGCTCTATTCCACAAGCATTTAAGTTTAAGTGTTAGTTAGACTATTTACTCTCCCTTTAATATAGCCAACCATTTCTCCTCTTCCAAACTATCTAACGTGTTGTATTCCAAACATTTCTTCTGCTATGAATTTATTTTGTTCACTATTAGTGGCATTTTCGTTACTTGTCTATTATTTAATTTGTTTTGCATTCCCTAGAATAAGGTCTTGTAAATTTTATTCTTCTATGTTTTATAGCCTATACTGTTGCCAGAAACACCAATTTAACCTTGTATCAAGCCACCATCAAAAGGACCTAATATTTTTCAACCATATTTGATCACTTTACATTGAGTTATATTGTGGATTTGCTTAGGACCCGATAGGGAGGTGTTGGGCCAACATTTTTATTTACAGAAACAAACTTACCAATATTTTGAAATATTATTTCGTTGCCATCCACCTCACTTGTCACATCATACATGTAAAAAAAAAAACCTCCCCAATAATATCTTTCAAGTGCTTGCTTTAATTTTTTCAATTCTTGTATCCAAATTTTATTCATTCTTCATGTGTCTCTCATTATAATAAATTATCAAATATCCAACCCTTGAGAGATAATTTTAGTTTGCAAAATCACTTGTAAAACATAAATTTTATTTGGTATAAAAAAGTATGATATTAGCTTGAGTGTTTTATGAGTTTTAGCAGAAACTCACTATGAATTTAAGGGATTTTTTTTTTTTTAATCTTAGCCTTAAAAGGTAGGTATCCAGAAATTATATCTAAGTCTTAAAAGATAATGATTGTAAATAATATATCTTAGGCTCCAAAAGATATTTGTAAAATTATGGTCGATATAGCGGTCGATATTACTAATAATGCATGATGGTCGATATTAGTAACCTTTATCCTTTTGGTGCTAACCACCCTTAACGGTCAAATGAGTCTGAAGTTGAACCATCATAATGTAGACCACATGAAGAAGATGTCCACTCATAAGATGATTAAATTCTAATATCCTACGATGTTTTATTTTCATTTGCCTTGATCTATTCTTTACAACATAATATAAAATGTTGCAGATTAGAATATGAGTTTCTTTAACAAAGTGGTTCAAGCCAAGCAATCTCACAATTTTATCAGAATTCTTTATGATGCTGATGGAAATAAGTTAGACTCTTTTAACCAAATGACAAATGAGGCTTTCAACTATTATCAAAATCTTCTTGGCAAGACATATTCCTAAATGAGATTAATACAATTGATATACTCAAGGAAATTTTGCAAGTCACCATTCCACATTTAAAGAGTCTAAACTCCTATCCATTTAATATCCCATGTTGTAATACACTATACAAGTGTATTATTAGAATTTTGGCAAATAAACTTAAATCTTGCCTTCCTTCCATCATTAGTCTTTACCGAAGTGCTTTCATTAAAAGAAGAATTTGGTGGAGCATGTTCTCTTTACTTAAAAAATGGTTGTAAGTTCTCAGAAAAAAAAGTTGTCACCTAAATGTGTTATGAAAATTTATTTCAGAAAGGCATGTCACCTAGATATTTATGCATTATAATTTATATATGTTCTCAAATTATAATTTTAAAAAAATTAATAAAATATATTTACATGCAATGTACATGATTACATAGTATTAATATATATCAAATGAGGGATGTTTATTAATAGTTAGTCATTAAAAGTTTTTGATTTATAATTATACTCATAAATGTTTTAAAATTTATGACTAAACATTGTTTCATGCATTAAACACGACGAGTTGGATGCATTAACTCATATATCAAATCAAAATTACTTACAAATTGAAGTTGACAAATAGATTGAAGTTGTGAAAATATGAAAAAATTAAAAAATCCAAATGTGTAATAATTAGGAAAAGAGGGGTTTATATTTAATTGTAGTGGTGGAATGTGGCAATCTAGCAAATTTCCCGCCGCTTGCACTTTAAAAGTGGAGCAATCAAACGAAATTCTAAGAATTCAGCGGACAGACGGCAATGGGTAGCCCAAGGGCAAGCCAGAACAGCAAGTTTAAAGCATTTCCTAAAAAACAAAGATTTGAAGCGCTGAGAAAATCTGGAAAAACAATGGGCATTGAAAGCGAGGAATTCAGAAACCAACAAGGAATCGATGAGGTCAGCATTTGCTATTTCTTTCCTTTACTGATTTGGTTGCCCTTTTTAAGCGTTACTTCCTCTATTTTCTGTCTCTCTTTTCTCTAATCTGCATTTATAAATAGAGAGAAGAGAGACTGATTTCATAGATTCTCATTTTGTTTTTAAATACTATTAATTTGAATTTGGAGGTATAATCAATTTGCTTTTCATGCTTCAATTACTACATATATTATTGCAAATTTACATTTTTTTCCTACGTTGGTTTATTTTATTATTGTTTTAATCAACCATTTTATTTTAAAAGAATGAAGATATGTTGTTTGTTAGGGCATCAAATTAAGTCAATAATAATTTGCAATAATAGGTTTCATGTTCAATCTCATATCTCTCATAAATATAACTTTTTGGCTAATCATTCATGCTTTCAATTTTTCTATATGCTATGTAATAGTTCATGTGTTCATATCTAGGTATGCTTTAGTCTATTTTTTAAGATTACGTAATTGAATTCATATATATATATATAATATATATATATATATATACATATATATCTACAATTCTTAGTTTTAATATCTCTCTTCGACATATTGTTTGGAATATTTAGGCCTGGTTGAGTTATGTTTGATGGTTCACTGTAAGAATACATAGTTGTTTCATAGTTTGTCTTCTTCCCCTGCCTCATAAAGAATCTGCAAAGAGATTAGCACTGGTCATTAGAAACTATGCATCGGAAAAAATATTTTTATCAGTTGCCTTCGTATTAATTTGTGCTTAAACATAAAGCCATACTGGTACGAAGGGATTTTAGTTTCTTTATTGTATAGCGAGTTTATTGGCAGTCTTATGCAGGGTAATACCACATATATGTAATCTCATAAATTTTACTGCAACTAAAATATTTTTCTAGCATCAATAATCAATCAATGTAAGACTTTTTTTTTTTATAAAGTTGAGGGTTAAATTTGTATTGGAATTGAATTTAATATATATGTCTCATAAGATTTCTTCGTAGATAAACCATGCCAAGGAAGAATGGGAGTACATTTTCATAGCATGTAGTTTCTACTTCCTGCATGTTCTTTTCTTTTATACCCGCCTGTTTTACTTTCAACTTTTATGCTTGCCCTGATCTAGTGTTGTACCATGTTAGAAAGCAATTAGAAAGATCTAGACAATACAATAATTTAGGGAAGCTCAACTTTTATGCTTGTCTGATCTAGTTTTGTACCATATTATAAAGCAATTAGCAAGATCTATATAATTCAATAATTAGGGGAAACTCACTTATGTTACAAAGTAAAAGCTAGTAATATTAATTATCCTTAATTAATTAGCATCATTATCTTGGTTAATTAATTCCTTCGAGACCATTTCTCATAGTGTAGTAATACATAACGGTCATGGACTTTGCTTCTTTTTTCATCAACTCCAATGTTTGTACGTGCATGCAACCATGCAGGCATTAAGGTTTGTGAATTATTTCATAAATTGTTGCCTTTAAATTTTTGGATAACCAACTTGGGCACCTGTGATGCATGTTCTCTGAACTGCTTACTATTTGATATTGAACATCTAGTATGATGGACAACTTTGAATTTGTAATCTAGTTTTTACAACCTTTTGGGGTTTGAAATTCATTATTTGTCATGAACTGATAGTTGAAAAGCTTCACATTTACAATGTTGCCTTTTAGACTAGCTAGCCATCTTTACTCATTCTTATTTCTGCATTAGTATTTTAAACATTCTGTATGCATTATTAAAGCAGCATGTCCTAGCTTTTATGGGAATCGTTACAAGTAAAAGTCATATCCTTCCTTTAGATTCATGGATTGCTCTTTGAAGAGTTCTTTTGACATGATTATTATCCACTACATATTGTGGTTGCATACTTTGCAATGTTTAGCATTCCATTTCTTAGGCTAGGAAGGAGTTATGATAGGCTCCAATTACATTATCATGCATTATAACTGCCGGGCTGTTAGCAGAATAGAAGCTAATATCCCGGAGGCTTTCCACTATTTCCAGTTTTATGGTGTTCTAATTAATCGGTGCATAATTGCTGATTTAGTTTCTCATCTTGGTATATAATCCAGAATCTGCTCAATTACTTTTCCATCTATTTCTGCAGTTTCATTAATTTATGTTTTTGTGACTAACATGTGTTGTCTTCCTACTCCTCTGACTGGATACTTCTAGGGATGGAGAAAGAGACTGATGGTAAAACAAATTCTTCAAACTCTATTGCCAATAACTCAGATTTCAAACCGTCAGCTGTCAGTAAGCCAAAGCAGAAAAGAGATAGTTCTGAGAATCCTGATAAGGCATCTGGTTCTCGGAAAATGCCAAGGCGAGCAGCTGCATGCTCAGATTTTAAGGAAAAGTCAGTTCACTTTTCAGACAAAACGTTTCTTGTTGAGTCGAAAAGGGTTAACCTTGTGGAAAATGAGATTATAGCCATAGGCATGACTGCTGGAAAGGTCGATTCCGGTCGACCTAACAGGAGGTTGACAGATTTTATATTCCATGACGCTGATCAAAACCCACAGCCAGTTGAGATACTTGAATTTAAAGACTTATTTATATCTGGAAGTATTCTTCCACTGGAAGAAAGTTCTGAAAAAGGGATGCAAAGGGGTTTTCAATGCAAAAGTTTTGGAAGGATTGAATCTTGGGCAATATCAGGTTATGAAGATGGCTTTCCAGTCATTTGGGTTTCCACTGATTTGGCAGATTATGATTGTTTGAAGCCTGCAAATAGCTACAGAGGAACATATAATCTGTTCTTTGAAAAGGCTCGTGCTTGTGTGGAGGTTTACAAAAAATTATCAAGGAGTAGCGGAGGGAAACCTGATCTGAGTATTGATGAACTGCTTGCAGGGGTTGTCCGTTCCATGAGTGGTACCAAGAATTTTCCTCCTGGGACATCTATTAAAGATTTCATCATTTCTCAAGGTGAGTTTATATATAATCAACTCATTGGCTTGGATGAGACATCCAAGAAAAATGATCAGATCTTTAGGGATTTGCACATGCTAGCTGCCCTTCGTGATGAGAGTAAGAAGCATGAAAGTTTTGTGTCTTCAAGAGTAACTACATCAGACAGGGTGCTGAATACAAGTTTGAAAATTTGTGATGGCAAGCAAAGGGTGCCGTCTAGTTCATCTGCTTGTCGGACTGAAGAAGATCAGGATATAAAATTGGCCAAGTTGCTGCAGGAAGAAGAGTACTGGCAATCAATGAAGCCCAAAAAAAATCGGCGACCTGTTGCTTCATTGGGAAAGTACTATACTAAAATAAATGAAGATGAGATTGCTGATGATTATCCTCTACCTGCATACTACGAGAGTGGTATCCAAGAAACTGATGAGTATGTTATCTTTGACAATGATATGGACACAAACAATCCTGAAGACCTTCCTCATAACATGCTGCACAATTGGTCACTATACAACTCGGACTCCCGGATGATTTCTTTGGAGCTCCTTCCAATGAAATCTTGTGCTGATATTGATGTCACGATTTATGGGTCTGGGATTATGACAGCTGATGATGGAAGTGGCTTTTATCTTGATGCTGATCCTAGGCAGTCTACTTCTACTGGATTTCAGAATGTGGAAGGGATTCCAATTTATTTGAGTGCAGTAAAGGAATGGATGATTGAAGTTGGAGCCTCAATGGTTTCTGTATCAATTCGAACAGATATGTCCTGGTACTTTACATCTAATCTCGAAAAGGAAACCTAAAACTAAAGCTAATAATAAGCTTCTAAAGAGTACAAGAATATTTAACTCTAAATTGCTGTTTCTTTCTCTTCTTTTCTGTTTTCTGCAAGTAAATTCTCCATAGAGTATGCTTCGTGTAGCATTTACCTTCATCTCTTTGTCTAAATTCTGAGCAAGGAAATCTGCCGTTGTTAAATGCATTTACCTTCATTTAATCTTTGCTTTGAAAATTCACTGGATGGTTAAATGCTTATTATTTCCGTTTCTATTCTTGTCAGGTATAGGCTTGGAGAGCCTTCAAAACATTATGCGCCATGGTACGAACCAGTTCTAAAAACAGCCAGGCTTGCAGTCAGTATTATCACTATGTTAAAGGAGCAAAACCGAGTGGCTCGCCTCTCTTTTAGGGATGTTATCCGCAGAATTTCTGAAAATCAGAAAGATCACCCTGCTTTCATATCCTCCAATCAAGCTGCTGTAGAAAGATATGTAGTGGTCCATGGACAGATTTTATTGCAGCAATTTATGGAATTTCCTGACGATACTATCAGGAAGTGTGCCTTTGTGACTAGTCTTCAGGAAAGAATGGAGGAAAGGCATCATACAAAATGGTTGGTAAAGAAAAAGGTGGTGCTGAAGAAGGAAGTGAACATGAACCCAAGAGCTGCAATGCAGCTTGTGGAATCCAAAAGGAAGGCTATGCCAGCGACTACCACAAAACTGATAAACAGGATATGGCAAGAATACTACTCAAACTACTTACCTGAATTAAAGGAGATGGATACTTATGAAGTGAAAGTGGATGAAGAAATTGACGATGAAAAAGAAGAAAATGGAGAAGAAGATTTTAAAGATGTTGAAGAGGAAAAGATGCTAGTTGATACAAAAAATGAAAAACCTCATTTGGCTGCAATGTCAAGAAAATTACTCTGTTTGAATGACAATGTTAAATGGGACGGTGAAATGGTGGGGAGGACGCCTAACGGTGAGGCTCTTTATAAACGGGCTTATATTCGTCAGGTTTTAGTTACAGTAGGTAGTTTTGTTCTTTTGGAAACTATTGGACCTGCTAAATTGCCTTCTCTATATTTTATTGAGTATATGTATGAAAAAGAAGATGGAAGAAAAATTGTTCATGGTAGGTTGATGGTGAGAGGAGTTCAAACTGTTCTTGGCAACATTTCCAGTTCAAGGGAGGTCTTTTTAACCCATGATTGCTTGGATTTTGAACTGGAAGATGTTAAAGAAGCTGTGCTAGCTGAAATCCGACTGCGCCCTTGGGGATATCAGCATCGCAAAGATAATGCCAACAAGGATAAGGCTGACAGAGATAGGGCTGACGAGAGAAAAAGGAAAGGCTTGCCCATGGAATATTATTGTAGAAGCCTGTATTGGCCTGAAAGAGGAGCCTTCTTTCGGCTTCCATTGCCCATGGGCCTTGGAACCGGGGTCTGCAGTTCTTGTTCATTGAAGGAAACTCAAAGGGAGAAGGAAACCTTCAAGATAAATTTTCCAAGGAATGGTTTTACATTTAGGGGCACTGAGTATTACATTCATGATTATGTTTACCTAGCACCACTGTATCTTGAAACTGATGGAAAGGAACGGAAAACATTTAGGGGTACAAGAAACATAGGGTTAAAACCTTATGTTGTTTGCCAGTTGGTAGAGATTGAGGTTTCTACTGGTTGCAAACAAGCTAACCCTGAATCTGAAAATGTTAAAGTTAGGCGATTTTTTAGACCAGAGGACATTTCAGTGGAGAATGCCTACAATTCTGATATTCGAGAAGTAAGTCATATTTTATAAGTTGCTTTAAAACAATTACTTGCATTTAAACCACTGTTTAAAAAAAAAAAATCCTAAGTCTCCTAGATTGATATGGAGAGTTGCAGAGTCGACCACAGGATAATGTTATGCGAAAGGGTTTTATCCCAGGTCTCTGCTATTGCATTGTATAATATTTGCAATCAATCGGCTGGCATTCAATCACGTTCTATCTTGTTGCGCACCCACGAAACTTGTTTATGTTTTTAAGTTGAAGGAGTGGTGCTTTTGGGGATTTGTGTTTTCAATTCTAAGACATTTGATCTTTAGTTTGACCTCTCTTCATTATGTTGTCATTAAACTCTTTGTTTGGTTCTTTCTTATTTTTCTGTTACACCTAAATGTCATCCATGTTCTACCTAATTGCATCTTGTAATTGAATTTTTCAGGTTTATTACAGTGAGCTAACATTGATAGTTCCAATTGTGGCTATAGAAGGGAAGTGTGAGGTTAGGAAGAAACATGATCTTCCACCTTTGGATGGCCCTGTAATATTTGAGCATGTCTTCTTTTGCGACCATTTTTATGATCCTGATAAGGGATCTATCAAGCAGGTAGCTTTTGTATCTCTACTTGTCTTATGATATATTCAAATTGTTTTTACAACCTTATCATTGATACCACAAGACATTTGTTTCCTGCTTGTTCTGGATAATCTGCATCTTCCTCTGATGATGAATTATCCTTTTTATGGCCAGTTGCCAACTAATATCAAACTTAATTCATCTAAAGAAAGGGTGGTTGATGATGCTGCATATAGAAAGAAAAAGGGAAAGTGTAAAGAAGGAGAAACTGAGTCCAGTGATATTGACAACCAGAAAGATGTTTTGAATCGCCTTGCTACCCTAGATATTTTTGCTGGTTGTGGTGGCTTGTCAGAAGGTTTACAGAAAGCAGGTAACTATTTTTAGTTATGCTTCCACCATCAACCAATTATAGCGCAAGTTTTATTATAAAGTATAGATTTACTGTTGATTCTCTCACTAAATGCTTATAGGTGTGTCACACACGAAGTGGGCAATTGAATATGAAGAGCCTGCAGGAGAAGCATTTAAACTTAACCATCCAGAGGCTATGGTGTTTGTTGAGAACTGCAATGTGATTTTAAGGTTGTTGCTTTCAGCGGGTTATGTTTTTCCTAAATTAGAGCTGACTGCTGAGTCACAATAACAATGACTCTTCTTATTAACTGGGATGTGTTTTAGAGACATGCTTGCTGAAATTGTATTATGGACCTTAAGGTCATTCCATTTCCTATTTTAAATTAGTGTCAAGGGACAGTTAACATTCTATTTCTGAGGTCCCTTAGATTAACATCCATTCTCACCACACTTCTCTTAATAGGATTTTGCGTGAAAGACATGATGCAATCACTGACATTGTACTTTTATCTATTTAACTTTTTCACATTTGTAAATTATTTACTTTTAAAAAGGGCAAGGAGACAAGTTCTCTTTTCTCTCATTTCATTGGTAGTTAATGGGTTGATATGCAGGGCTATCATGTCAGAACATGGGGATGCAGATGACTGTATAGCAACTCCAGAAGCAGCCGAGTTAGCAGCAAAACTTGATAACGAGAAAATTAGTAATCTGCCTCATCCAGGACAAGTAGAATTTATCAATGGAGGGCCCCCTTGTCAGGTATATCTTAAATGTCACCTCTAGTCTTTTAGCATCTGATTTTGAAACTATTGTAATGATGCACAAAGGAGCTAATTAATTTACTATCTGAGGCCATAATTATTTAATATTTTTTCTTATTACAGGGATTTTCTGGGATGAATAGGTTCAATCAGAGCACATGGAGTAAGGTCCAGTGTGAGATGATCTTGTCATTCTTATCTTTTGCTGATTACTTTTGCCCAAGTTTTTTCCTTTTGGAGAACGTGAGGAATTTTGTATCATTCAATAAGGGGCAAACATTTCGGTTAACTTTAGCTTCACTGCTTGAGATGGGTTATCAGGTAGGTGGTTTTTCTTTTTTTTTAAACCCTTTTACTGTAGTAGGAGTTAAGCTTCCAGAAGTGAAATTATGGATGATTCTGCAAGGCACCATCCTGTTACCAATAGTTTAGATGACATATTGGAGATTTCAATTCCTTTTGCTTCAGTAACAATAAAAGTTTGGTAAAACTGAAAATGGGTCATCAGGTGTCGCTAAGTATTAGGCCTGACAGGTGTTATGTGCATTCATACGAAATGAACTTGTTGCTTCTGTTGTATTGGAGAAGAGAAGAAAACGTTTTAACCTGCTGACTGGTATATTTGTTTCTTAAAACTGTTATAGGTGAGGTTTGGTGTTTTGGAAGCTGGAGGATATGGTGTTTCTCAGTCTCGCAAACGTGCATTTATATGGGCAGCTTCTCCTGAGGAAACACTCCCTGAATGGCCTGAACCAATGCATGTATTTGCTGGTTCTGAGCTTAAGGTCACCTTATCTGGAAATTCCCAATATGCTGCTGTTCGAAGTACTGCAAATGGAGCGCCATTCCGTGCAATAACTGTTAGAGATGCAATTGGGGAGCTTCCAGCTGTTGGAAATGGGGCTTCCATAGCAACTATGGAGGTGGGATTATATTGAAAACATCTGATGTAAATTTTATCTTTTTTATAACTCCACCATACTCGGTCTCTAACTATATTATATTTTTATTGCTCAGTACAAAAGTGATCCTGTATCTTGGTTTCAAAAGAACATCCGTAGGAATACGTTGGTGTTGGCTGATCATATTTCCAAGGAAATGAATGAGTTAAATTTGATCCGATGTCAGAGAATCCCAAGACGACCAGGTGCTGATTGGCGTGACCTCCCAGAAGAAAAGGTTTATGCTTTAGCTAAACTCCAATTAAGTTTACAGAATAATGTTCTATAATTTTAAAGAAAAATGTACTATGACGACCATTTAGCATATTGTGGTTATGTTTTCCAATTTTCATATTTCCTGCAAAACTTATTGGTTCTGTACTTATTTCGCTATTTGTGCTGTAGGTTCGGTTGTCCAATGGACAAACAGCTGATTTAATACCTTGGTGCCTGCCAAACACAGCCAAAAGACATAATCAATGGAAGGGCCTTTTTGGGAGGCTGGACTGGGAAGGAAACTTCCCGACTTCTGTGACAGATCCTCAACCTATGGGGAAAGTCGGGATGTGCTTTCATCCTGATCAGGATAGAATAATAACAGTACGAGAATGTGCTCGTTCCCAAGTAAGTCTGCTCCTGGAACTTTCTTTTTATTGCAACATCTTTGGATGATTAAAGTTTAGGAATTAGTTTCCAAATAATGAGTTAGAATACAATAGTTTACAGCTAATTGTAACATCTGCAATAATTAGAAAATCCAAAGAGCGATTAGTACTTGCGAGGGCTGAGCGAGACAGCTCTCATTACACTTTATTCTAATTGTTACCTAAGATAGATGGGGAATTAATTGCAACTTTTGTGGTGCAACTGACTGATCTTTTCAAAACAATTAATGTAAAAATTTAGTATATTTTGCAAGTTGCACTTGTATGTGTATGTGGTTCAAAAAGTCTTCTTGTATTGTCAACTTCAGGTGAGTGGTGACTAAACATTGCTTTGCCTTGCACATACAGGGGTTCCCTGATAGTTATAAATTTGCTGGTAACATCCAACACAAGCATAGGCAAATTGGGAATGCTGTGCCTCCTCCTTTGGCTTTTGCATTGGGAAGAAAGCTCAAGGAAGCAATAGAGACAAATGCTCAATCTAAAGGCCATTAATCAAGTATACACTGTATACTAAATCTCAATATCTTAAATTCTCCTTTCCTTTTTATTTTTTGGGTAAGCAGTCAAAGGAGTTCTGCAGTCAAATATCTGGTCTGGTTTTTTATACATAAGAGGCTGCGGCATAGGAGAAAAAATTGCAGTTGTTAGGATTTAAACTTTAACTCTATTGTATGTCACCTCTTAAGGATAATTGTGTAAGTTAACTGAATTAAACTTTAGATTTAGCACTCCATTGTTATTGCTAAATCACAATATTAGGCTGAGAATTTTTCTTTTCTTTTTTTTTTTTTATGGAATAAATATGTAAAAAATAAATTTTAAATCCAATAAAGAAAATTGAACTGGCACAATTTGTTTCGTATCAGATTGATTTTAAAAAAAGTTCAATTTGAATTCAGATTGAATTTTGAAAATTTATAATACTTTATATTAATTGAAATGATAAAATCAAATTGAACTGTTATCACTCCTATAACCTTAGGTGTTATCACTACTATAACTTTGGGTGGATTCTTATAGTCAACATTTAATGCATTATTTTATAGATTTCTTTAAAAAAAACATTATTTATAAAATATTCTTTATAAATATCCTCCACAATAGATACTTTTAACATTTTAATATAGTTATTTTTCAAGTTTACATAAAAATTTAAAATTTGTCTTCTTTAAAATAAAAAGATTAGTATAATTAAATATATTTATAAAGTGTGAAAATTTCTTTTTATAGAATAATTTACCCATAGTGTTCTTAACTATATATATATATATATATAGGCATTTATGTATGTATATATTTATGTACAAACAAGTGTGTGTGCATATTTACATTCTCATGTGTACATGTATTTGGTTTGACCTTCTCTATATATAAATCATAGTTCTGTTACTAATAAAGGGTAAGTGAAAGATGAATTTTTTAGCTTGATAGGTAATCATTTATAAATACAATAATATAAAGGATAAATGAGTGAAAAGTTAATCTCTCAGCATGTCACATCAACATTTATATGAAAATTTTAGTCTTTTTAAAAATAAAATACATTTTAAAGCTTTACAATCCACATATTAGTTAAAATCACGTTGTTTAATTTCATTGTGAAAAATGGATTATGATCCCAATGAAAAGAACTTTTGGTTTGTTGCTTTCTTTTCTTCTTTGATTTTTTTATATTATTTTATTATCAATTCCAATCTCTTGCTTTTTGGGTTCACTTGTGATTTGATCTACTGTTTTTTACTTTTCTAATTTTTTTTCTTTATGTTGATTTACCTCTTATTTGCCCTTTCATTTTTCTTTCCTCCTTGTGAGTTTCGAAGTTTGTTTTTTTTCTTTTGATTTTTTGTTATTTTTATAATTTAATCACTTTTGTTTTTTTCATCATCATATGTGTTTTGAAATAAATGTTGGTTATTTATTGAAAACCAATCTAAACTAAATTTCAATACTTAATATCCAAATCGAATTGAAAAGAATCGATTCAATCTGAATACTATGGTTTCGAATTTAATTTCGATTTTCTCAATTTTTTCCCTCAACCATAGCTGTCATGTGTCAAATATTTCAAATCTTCACAAACTCTACTTTTATATATTGTTATAGATAGATAGATTGATTGATTAATAGATAGATAGATAGAACATATAAGTGTTAAAATATTATCAAATTTTGTTGAAAAGTTAGACCAAATCAATCGATTGAATAAAAAATCAAAGGCTTAGTTAGTTCAATGAAAGAGTCAAATCGTGTCCGTAAAAAGGCTATCAATATTCCAATTAAATCAAGTTTTAGAACTAATTAAATCAATTTATATTATCCTATTAAAAGAACCCTTAAAAACTTATGAAGGTAATAACTACCCTCATTTTTGTTTGATGGACTTTTGGGTTTGAGGGCTTGATGTATATGGAATATTTAGGTTGAAAGTTTATAATTTTGTTAAAAGAGACTTAGTTGTTTTAGTTATTTTCATTTCAAATGTGATAATCTATTGCTCTCAAGATTTTAGCGAAAAGACATGAATGACATAAACGATGTAAAATGGTGGAGTTTTCTATGACTGCAAGGGATTTATTGTTATTCATTTTATTGTTTTTTTCCTTAGAGTTGTCTGCATCATTTATTTTTCTTTATAGATGTTTTCTTCTTTTGGTTTTCTTTCTTTCTTCGTTTTTTTTTTCTTGTAGCTTTGAAAAAAGCAAAAAAGAAAATCCAAAAAGAAGATAAAGGGAAAACAACATGTGAGAATGGGTGGATTGATCAGATCGTCGATCAATCGTCTCCCAAATCAATCTAGCATTAACCACTAAAGAGATTGAAATATGAAAAAGGACGTAAAGTTTAAGCAATTGTTTAAAAGGTGGACAATATTTGTTAGGTTTAAATCCTTTTGATATCAATATATATTGATTTCAATAAAAACTTTTTCTTTTTGTTTTTAAACACATTTTTTTATTTGACTTTATCATTTATTTTAGTTATTACTTTTCTACATCTTACCAAAAAGTGATTGATTATTTATTTCAAATTCAAATATAAATTTTTTTTATTCCTATTAATTAATTCTTTATTTTATAATGGTATTTAAAGTTTAATATACTTCTCACTTTTATATGTTGCAGATTTTTTATTTCTTTTATTAGATTTTGTTAATCAACGATAAGTAAAAAAAGGCCTTTAAATTATTTATTTTATTGAGATAATTTATTGTTAACTTTTTTTTATATCATTTAAGAGTTAGTACAGTTCAGTTTCTTATTATATTTACTTTAAATTTAATTTTCATTGAATTATAACTTGTGCCAAGAATTATCACTCTTCTTATGTAATAAAAGTTTTAACTCTTCTTAAAAATCTTTTGAGTCTTTTTTGGTACAATAAAAAATTTTATAAAATGTATAAAACTCTTACACTACTTAAATGAAAATAGAATTATCTCTAAAAATTATAGCACCTTTAATTAAAATACCTAACATGATGTGTAGATAGCACATTAGTTTTTATTAAAATTTTGACTTTAAACAAAGAAAAAAATTTTTAGTAATAAGATTTGAACTCTTACCCTTTTAGTCATTAATTAAAACTCTAACTATTTAATCAATTGATTTTTTAAAATTTTTTAAAATTTTTAAAATTTTCAAGAATGATTATGATATTTTTCTTAATCATTTAAAGTGATGCATCATCTATCAAACACTTATTTACCTTCATTTATTTTATGTCATTTTGAACTAGATTTGCTCATGGGTCAAGAGACCCGCTCGAACCCAAAAGCTTGCTCGAAATTTTGAAGGGCTTGGACATGAACATTAAGCCTGCTAAATGGGTTTGGACAACTAAATGAGACCCGATAAAAAAATAGAGTCAAGCTTAAGTTTCACCATTTAAGGCCTAAGCTCGGTTGACCCGGCTCAAAAATTAAAAATTATTTTTCTCATATCAGGAAAAAGCCTATTTGCTTTATATTTTATAATGGATAAGGCCCATTTGCTTCATTTTTTATAATATGATAAAATTCATTTTTCTTTATACAAAATAATAATCAAATTTTAAATTACATTCAATAAAATTAAATTGGATTCAAGCCCAAAAGAGTCATAAATTCAATTAAAATTAATTAAATTAGTTAAATTAATAATTTATTAAAAAAACTCTTTTCCCCAATTTTAAATATCAGTGTTTTGGGTGGGTTTGAATTTTATTATTACATGTATGAACGGGCTTTGGCAAAAAATAAAGCTAAAAAAATTAGGCTAGGCTAGGCGTGGGCTTGTTTAAAAAGCTAAAATATCATGTCAAGTCTAGCCCAGCCCATAAGTAGGTTTATTTCAAACATTTATTCTTTTATACATCCTTAAAGAAAATCATATATAATAACATCAAAGTATAACAATTGGAATATAAGATATTTTAGTGATCTCAAACGTAAGAATCATTTATATAATTGTAATATGATAAAATATTTTATATAAAAACTTAAATAACATTCCAAATAGCATTTTACCAGTTAAGTGAACTTATCATTCTATTACGTACCCACATATTTATTCAAGTAATCGGATACTTCAAGTTTTGTAATTAGTTACTTTTGTTAAAAGTAAAACATAATACATGCTAGTCTCACAATTGTATCTTGATAATGCCTTAACTAGAAATAATTTAAAAATAATATTTTCATGCAATAGAATCTCATAATTATAAATCGTTAAGATTCTCTTTACAAAACATATTTATTTCATGAGTTTCATGACATAAACTTTAAGTAATAAATATAATGTATGATTTAGCAAGTATCTCATAGTTAATCCGTTATCAATCAAAACATGATCCAAGCACACGTTATGGGAGTTCAACCACGAAAGTGTGCTTTGATTGGTATTAAAATGGTTGGTGGTATCTTTAATCCCCTTTTCATGCTTCTAAGCTTTGCTTGAAAAGCTCATGAATAGTAGTTGAATTTGTAACTAGAGTTGGGACATTAATTAGCCTAACAAGATTATCTAAACATGTGATTAGATAATCTCATTTATTATCCTATGTAATGCATAATGAAGATGGAATTGACAATGACCATAATAGGAAATATCTATGATATATTGGTGCAATGTTATGATTGAAATTTCACTTTATGACCAAATAAAATCCAATCTATAGACATGTCCAACGTCACTGACAAAATATTCTTGCCGGTGATGACTATTTTCAACTGATGAAAACAGTCTTACCTCTTCTAATGAGTGGATAAAAGTATTTCGGCTAGATGGTCCCTTCTTTTAAAATGGCTATAAATATAGAAAGATTAGCAACCACCATTACTCTAATTCACAAGCATTTAAGTGTAAGTGTTAGTTAGGCTATTTACTCTCTCATTAAAGTAGCCAACCATTTCTCTTCTCCCAAACCATTTCATGTGTTATACTCCAAACATTCCTTCTACCATGTATTTATTTTTGTTCACTATTAGTGATGTTTTTACTACTTGTCTATTAATTGATCTGTTTTGCATTCCAAGAAATAAGGTTTAGTAAATTTTATTCCTATCTTTTTTATAGCCTATTTTCTTGCCACAAATACTAATTTAATCTTATACCAAGCCACTATCAAAAGGATCCAATATTTCTTAGCCATACTTGACCATTTTGGGTTGAGTTATATTAGGGATTCTGCTTAGCACCCATTAAGAGAGGTGTTGGGATAACTTTTTTTTATTTAGGAAAAAAACCTACCAATCTTTTGAATTTTCATTTCATTGTCATCCACCTCATTTGTCACATCATAAATGTAAAAATAACCTCCCCAATAATATTTTTAAGTGCTTGCTTTAATTCTTGTATCCAAGTT